GGCGACCAAAGGTGGTCAAGGCGGACGCGCTGGGGGCCACGGTCGCGGGAGATCTGGAAGACGTTCTGGGCTCCTTCGGAGGGGATGGAGTGCCCCTAGACTGTATTCAGAGGGGACAGAGTGCCCCTAGTCTGTATTGATCCAAGAGGATGAGGCTGGTCGCTCCCACGAATCGGCCGAAGGCTATCGTCCCAGTTTCAGTTTCTTTTCTGCTGCAGACTTTGTTATCTGTCTTTCTGTGTGTGTGCCTGTGACCGTCGGTTGTGTCTGTTGGACTTTATTACTGGGCGACTAGACTGACGAAATGGGACAGACACCCTCTAAACCCCTAGACCTGTTGCTCACTCACTTCAAGGATATCAGAGCTTGAGCACGCAATCTCTCCGTGAAAGTTAAAAAGAGAAAATTTCAGACTCTGCACCAAGTAGAACAGCAGGTCTCTCGGCCCTGCATGGGCCACCCGGACCAGGTTCCGTATACCGTTGTCTGGGCCGACTTGGTGGATGACCCCCTCCTTGGCTTAAACATGTTTTACTTCCCCAGGTGCCGCCCTCCTCTGCATCGGCCCCTGTTTTAGTTACTTCTAAACAGTAACTGACTCCTGACAACCTGAGTCTAAACCCTCGGCTCCTCCTCTTTATCCCATTTTGCAGGGAGAAACGGAGGAAGAGTTGATTTTTCCACCCCATATCAACCCCCTTACAGCCCCCTGTCAACGAGGCAGCAGCCCTGGCGCGCCTCCCGACCTCCGCCCTTCACCTGCCCCGCCTCGAGCCAGGCAGCCGTGCCACCCGCCACAATGGCCGGGGACCGCCTCCCCGCGTGCAGGGATCCCAGCCACGCGTGCCGCCCGCCCGGCCGGGCCTTCGCCCACCCTCCACGCTCCCCTCGCGGCTCCCCTGGGACGGAGGAGAAAGATGCGGCCAGGAAGTTGATTCCTGGCCCCACTGGGGTCCCCACAAGGGACCGGGCGTATTGCCGCGCACTTCCCCCTCACCTGCCCAGACTGGGACAACACAGCAGAAGGTAAGGAGCGCCTACTAGGGTACTGCCAGGCTCTATTGGCAGGTCTCAGAGCTACAGCTCGCAAGCCCACGAATATGGCCAAGGTTTATAATGTTAGTCAGGGTTCCAAGGAAAGCCCCGCAGCCTTCCTCGAAAGGATAATAAAGACCTTTCGCCGGTACACTCCCATGGATCCGGAAGCCGAATCCAGTAAATCGGCAGTGGCCATGGCTTTCATTAACCAAGCGGCTCCCGATATCCGCCGCAAGCTTCAAAAATTAGAAAGACTTGGAGAAAAGAGCCTCCAAGATTTAGTGGTCATGGCAGAGAGGGTATATAATAACAGGGAAAGTGCAGAAGATAAGCAAATTAGGGCTGAAAAGAGGCAGAACCGGGACGTGGCAAAGATACTGCTGGCTGCCACAGCAGATCCAGAAGACCGAAGACACCATCTCAAGCAACTGGCCTCCCAAGAACACGGTAAGGAAGAAACCAAACGGGATGGGAAAAGACCCCGCGTGGGCTGCAATCAATATGCCTATTGCAGAGAAGAGAGGCATTGGGTCAAGGATTATCCCAACAAGAAACCGAGACCTAAGACCCCCGTCCTGGTTATGGGGGAAGACAGTGACTAGAGGGGACGGGGTTCAGTGCCCCTCCCCAAGCCCAGGGTAACCTTACAAGTGGAGGGGAAATCTACAGACTTCCTGGTTGATCCAGGGACCCAGCATTCTGTGCTCCTACAGCCCGGGGGCCCACTGTCAGCCAAAAAGTCATGGGTCCAAGGAGCGACCGGAGTCAAGCAATATCCATGGACTACCTGAAGAACTGTGGATTTGGGCATGGGTCGGGTATCTGACTCATTTATCGTCATCCCAGAATGCCCCTACCCCCTTCTGGGCCGTGATTTATTGACAAAACTGGGGGCACAAATCCATCTCTCCCCTGAGGAAACAAAAGTGTTGGGCCCCTGGCGCCAGCCTGTGGCCTGTCTCTCCAAGAAACTAGACCCGGTGGCATCTGGTTGGCCGTCATGTCTCCGCATGATTGCGGCTCTGGCCCTGCTGGTTAAGTATGCAGATAAATTGTCTATGAGGCAAGAGATGGCCGTCACTACCCCTCATGCAATAGAGAGAGTTCTAAAACAACCACCAGATCCATGGCTCAGAAATGCCCACATGACCCGTTATCAGACTCTGCTACTCAACCCTCCCAGAATTATTTTCCAGGCCCCGGCCGCCCTGAACCCAGCTACATTGCTCCCTGACCCGGACTTGGAGGCTCCCCTCCATGACTGTGCTGAGATCCTGGCCCATAATCATGCCACCCGTCTGGACCTGCAGGATGTCCCGTTGCCAGATGCGGAGGTCACCTGGCACACAGATGGCAGTAGCTTCATACAAGGACTGAGGCATGCCGGAGCCGCAGTGGTATCCACCGAAAAAGTCATTTGGGCGGAGCCCCTGCCGGCCGGGACCTCCGCACAGAAGGCTGAGCTAACTGCACTTACTAAAGCCTTACCTCTGGGGCAGGGCAGAAAACTAAATGTTTACACAGGCAGTCGATATGCCTTCGCCACTGCTCAGGCCCATGGGGCAATTTATAAAAAAAGGGGGCTCCTCACGGCCAAGGGAAAGACTATAAAAAATAAAGAGGAGATCCTAGCGCTCTTCAAAGCTTTATGGCTCCCAAAAAAACTAGCTATCATCCATTGTCCAGGCCATCAAAAGGACATAACTGAGACAGCCAGAGGCAACAATATGGCCAACCGGGCCGCTAAAGAAGCGGCCCTCAAGGGCACCCCGGTCCTGGCAGTCAAACTCATAGATCCGGGGGACCCCAACCTACCAGAGACTCCTCGTTATTCACTCGAGGACCTACAATGGATTAAAAGACTACCTATGACTCAATGTCTTAAGGGCTGGTGGAGGTCCTCGGATAACAAAATCATCCTGCCCGAAGAAATGGGAATAAGGGTTCGGTCAAAAATACACCGAGCAGGGATGCCTGGGTGGCTTAGTTGGTTAAGCGTCCGACTTTCGCTTAGGTCATGATCTCACGTTTCATGGGTTCGAGCCCCGCGTCAGGCTCTGTGTCAGAGCCTGGAGCCTGTTTCAGTCTGTGACTCCCTCTCTCTCTGACCCTCCCCTGCTCACGCTGTCTCTCTCTCTGTCTCCTAGAAATAAATAAACATTTGAAAAAAAAAAAAATACACCGAGCATCCCACATGGGACAGAGAAGACTACAAGACCTGATTAGACAGTCACACATTAAAATTAAAGATGCCAACTCCAAAACTGAACAAATCGTCAGCAAATGCAAGGCCTGTCAACTGACCAACACTACCCAGAACCCCCATAATCCTGGAACACGTCTAAGAGGGAGAGGCCCAGCGGCTTACTGGGAAACTGACTTCACTGAGGTAAAACCTGGCAGGTATGGCTACAGGTACTTACTGGTCTTTGTAGACACTTTTTCAGGATGGACTGAGGCGTATCCCACCGAACACGAAACCGCACAGGTGGTGGCAAAGAAACTGCTAGAAGACATCCTACCAAGGTATGGGTTCCCTCAGATGATAGGCTCAGATAATGGACCGGCTTTTGTGTCCAAGGTAAGTCAGAGCCTAGCCACGACCCTGGGGATTGATTAGAAATTACACTGTGCTTATAGACCCCAGAGCTCAGGACAGGTAGAAAAGATGAATAGAACCTTAAAAGAGACCCTTACCAAATTGGCCCTTGAGACTGGCGGTGACTGGGTGGTCCTCCTCCCCTTTGCCCTATATAGTGCGTAATTCCCCATATCAAATGGGATTGACTCCGTTTGAGATCATGTTTGGTAAAGCACCCCCCATCATACCCCGCCTACAGCATGAGGCCATTGAGGAGTTCAAAGAAGCCCGTCTCCTCCAAGACCTCCGAGGCCTCCAATGGGCTCATAAACGTGTTTGGCCTAAACTGTGTGCCCTCTGTGAAACAGGAGCCACACAGGTACCGCCCCAGTGACTGGGTCTACGTGAAGAGACACCGCCAGGGCAACTTGGAATCACCCTGGAAGGGACCTTATGTTGTGCTACTGACCACCCCAACGGCCCTAAAGGTAGACGGCATTGTTGCCTGGGTCCATTACACCCACGCCAAACCAGCTGACCCGTTTGCCGACAAGGACGACTACCTGGCTCTGAATCCAGATCGGAAGGCCGTCAAGGACCCAGGGAATCCACTAAAGCTCAAACTACAGCAGAAAACATGAACTGGCCTTTAATATTGGAACTACTGACCATATGTACTCTGTGTTGTTGGGCCAACCAAAACCGAAATCCTCACCAACCCCTCCAAGTAACATGGCAGGTCTTTACTCTTAGTTCAAATCAAGCCATAGTTACTAATGTTGAGCCCCATCTTCCCGATACATGGTGGCCTTCATTTGAATTTGACCTTTGCAGCTTATTTGAACAAGACCCATTGCATGAAGGGAGAATAGGGATCCCTGGATGTGGTACCCATACTGCCCAGCAGGAGTTACACGGAACCTGTTCTTATGTATGTCCGGCCCCAATTTCTAATGACAAGGCGGCTCAGTGTGGAGGCCGGTCAGATTATTATTGCCGGGAATGGGACTGTGAGACCACGGGATCTTGCAGTTGGATCCAGGACTCTCAATCTCTCATTTCCCTCCGGTGCAAACACTCAGCCCCCTGTAAGCCTGGCTCTAGATGTACCCCTCTACAATTAACATTCACCGACAAGGGTAAAAGAACTAAGGACTGGGACAAAGGTCTAACCTGGGGATTAAGACTATAAAAATCAGGGTCTGATACAGGAGTACTGTTTATGGTCAAGCAGGTCTCTGCCCCCTTTCAATCAGAATCAAGAGAGACCATAGGCCCTAACAAGGCCCTAATTCCAATCCGCCTGACCCCCAGGCGACCCCACACTACTCCCATTACTATTACAGTACCTTGTCACCTAAGTCCATGGGAACCACCATCCTCAAGGAGACAGAGCCAGAGCCCTTATAGGACCTGATGGTCCACACTTTTAAAATTCTTAATTTTACCAGGCCTGGCCGGAAGAAAACGAGAGTATGAGCTGAGCCAGAGTTGGTTCGAGAAATGGTTTAACAGCTCCCCTTGGCTTACTACCCTGATTCCTACTTTAATAGGCCCCGTACTGATTTTACTGCTGTTACTAACCTTTGGACCTTGCATTCTTAATAGACTGGTTACATCTATGAAAGAACGCTTGGGGGCCATCCAATCAATGGTCCTCCGGACACAATACCAACATCCCCGAAACATGGATAGGCCTGGTGACCTCGCGCTCCTAGAGGCCCCATGACTGGGTCCACAGAAGTCTTAAGAAAAGGGGGGAACGTGAGACCTAAACCTAACTGACTCCATTTTAGAAAAAGCCTCCATCTTGAGGGTGAACTAGGCCCGAACCCAGTTCCAGGAAAAACCGCAGGAAGTACTTAGGCAGCCTGCCCTTCTTTACTTCCCTAGCAACAGCAACAGCCAATCAGTTTAAAAGAGGCGCCTATGTCCCTAGACGTTCCTGTTGGCTGTTTGCGGTCCGGCCAGATGGGCCGAGCCAGTCGGGTACCGACAAGACACCCTGTGCTAAAAGTCAACCTATCAGGAGGCTGCCAAGCTGGACGGCCCCCGAATCCCACTGTAACTGCAACAAAAAGCCCTGCGACCCTGAGTTCGGGGCTCCACACCATCACCGCTGCGTCGGGGTGCATTGGGGGTCCCTGCTCGAGCTTGAATAAAGACCCTCGTGTGCCTACATCGGAATCGGCTCCTCAGTGGTCTTTGGGGTCTCAGGATCTGGGCATAACAGTAACTCCTAACAGGAAACTCACCGCCCCCCCCCATGAGGTCGTCTTGCCAAAAAATATCAAAACTGATAGTGATTAAGTTTCTAAATCTGCCCAGCATGGTGGCCACTACCCCCCACGGAACTATTTACATTGAAATTAAATTTTTTTTTTAAATGTTTTATTTATTTCTAGGAGACAGAGAGAGACAGTGTGAGCAGGGGAGGGTCAGAGAGAGAGGGAGTCACAGACTGAAACAAGCTCCAGGCTCTGAGCTGGCAGTCAGCACAGAGCCCGACGCGGGGCTCGAACCCACGAACCGCGAGATCATGACCTAAGCGAAAGTCGGACGCTTAACCGACTAAGCCACCCAGGCGCCCCACATTGAAATTAAATTTAACTAAAATGAAAAGAAGTGAAGAATCCAGTTCTGCAGTAAACCCCAAAGGTGGTGGATGTAGGGGGTCAGATCGGTGTACCCTCAAAGCGTTCCCGGCTCCTCCCAGGGGGGGCTGATTTCATCCTGCTCACCCAGGTTATTGTACAGTCCCAAGGACCCACATCCGGCCTCCTCCCGCTTCCTGGCACTGGACCTGGCTGTCCCAGAACAGGGCCTGGGGGCCCCGGAGATGCTGGCTACCCCTCAGCTCCGTGCCCGCAGGTGAGACAGACCACGGCAGCCCCAGGTTTCTGGCCCAGAGTGAGGACAGGACCTTCTCCTGGTGCATAGGAAGGTCTGTCTGGACAGAGGCTTTTTTTTTTTTTTTTTTAAATAACTTTTTAAAGAAAAGTTAGATTTACAGAAAAATTGCAACAATTCTCCAGAGTTGCCTGACACCCCACACCCAGTTTTCCAAGTTGTCATCCTAGCCTGCACTTGTGCATTTGTGGAAGTGAGTGAAGCGATCTCAATATATTATTATAACTAAAGTCCGCGCTTTTCTCGGACTGACTCCGTTTTCCCGTCATATACTTACTTCTGTGCTCTGAGACCCCATCAGGACACGGCGTGATATTCAAGTCGTTTCCTTGGACTGTGGCTGTTTCTCTTCCTTGTTTTTGCCGATCTTGACAGTTTCGGAAAGGACCGGGGAGGTGTTTCGTAGATGTCTCTTGGCTGGGATTTATCCAGTGTTTTTCTAGGGGTTAGGCTGGAGTCACGGGTTTGGGGGAGAGGACCACAGGGGTGAGGTGCCCTTCTATTCCCACCCGTTCAGGGCATGTGGTGTCCACCTGACTGATCCCTGTGACCTTGACCTTGATCTCCTGGCTGAGTGTGTTTTTCAGACTTCTCCACTGTGATTTTCCTAGGTTCCATTTCATACCCTTTGGGAGGAAGTCAGGACAGGGACGTTTGCCTACCCAAATTTTTCTTTATATAAAACACCACTTTAATTGTATTCCTTTGTGCAGCTAAAATTTGTTAAGATTTACCCACCTATTTTTATAACTTTTATTGTGATAATATATGCATGACAAAATGTACCATCTCAGCCATGTTCAGGTGTACAACTCAGCAATACTGAACGCATTCACACTGTTGTGCGACCATCACACCGTCCATCTCCAGAACTCTTCATCTTGCAGAACTGAAACTCTGTCCCCATCGGACACTCACTCCCTACCCCCTCCCCAGCCCCGGCCCCTCACAGACACCATCTGCTTTCTGTCTTTGTGATTTGGACAACTCGAGCTCATATACATGGAATCTGTCCTCAGGCTTCATCAGAAGTTCCTTCCTTTTTAAGGCTGAATCCTATTTCATTGTGTGGACGGATCACATTTCGTTTATCCGTTGATGGACACTTGGATTGTTTCCACCTCTCAGCTATCGTGATAATGCTGCTATCAACATGGTGTACAAATCTCTCAAGTCCCTGCTTTCATCTCCTCTGGGTATATACCTAGGGGTGGGTTTGCTGGGTCATGTGGAAATTCTATATATAATCCCTGGAGGAACGGCCAGACTTTTCCGCAGCAAGGGCGCCATTTTATGTTCCCACCAGCAGTGCACAAGGTTCCAGTTTCTCCACATCCTTGCCAATGGGATGCTACGTTCTGTTGCTGTTTTTAAAATAATAGCCATCCTGATCAGTGTGAAGTTGTATGCTTTTATATGTTTTTTTCAAAATTTATTATTTTTTGAGTAGGTGCCATGGACTGAATTTTGCGTGCCCCACGTTTCACATTTGAGCCCCTCACCTCCAATGGTATTTAGAGGTGGGGCCTTTGGAAGGTGACTGGGTTCAGATAAGGCCATATGGTGGGACCCGTGATGGGATTCATGTCCTATAATGAGAGACAGAGATCTTTCTCTCTGTCCCCGGTTTGTAAGCACCGCGGAAGGGCCATGTGAGGACACAGCCTGAAGGCGGCTGTCTATACCCAAGAGAGAGCTCTCACTGGGGACTAAATCAGCAGCAGGGGACCGAATCAGTCTGATCTCAGACTTCCAGCCTCCAGATCTGTGAAAAACATCTGTTGTGTAAGGCCCCCGCCCCCTACCCCCCACCTCAGACTATGGTATTTCTTATGGCGGCCAAGCTGACTGTGTAGTATATCACACCAGGTAATATATTCACAGGGTTCAATATTCAAAAGGCACAAAAGGCATCCAGGAAGCCCACACACTCCCATCCCCAGCAAGTCACAGCCCTACAGGGAGGGAACATTTGAGCCAAGACCCCATAGTGAGACAGGTGGTGAGAAAAGTGCTCTAGGCAGAAGGAAGAGCCGTGCAAAAGCCCTGAGGTGGGAAAGACATTCAAGGAGGTGAAAGGTGGCCCAGAGGCTGAAGAGAGGTGGTCAAGGTGAGCCCAAGCAGCTTGGTGGGGACAGGGCCCTGCAGGGGCTTTGCTGGCAGACTGGGGTCTGATTCCTGCTCCGTCAGCTCCCAGAGCACAGGAGCCTTCTCTCTCTGTGCCTCAGTTTCCTCATCTGTAAACTAAGGATAGTGATTGTGCCTCCCTCATGGGGTAGTGAGTGCAATGGCTTCTGTAAAGCCTTAGTGGCAGGTGCGGTCAGTACCACACTCAGGGGCCCTGGTCACCCCCAAGCACGTGCGTGGGCCACGATGCAGGTGTGACAAGACGCCTGTCTCTCTGTCTCCCCTGCCTACTGAGCAAACCTTCTGCAGCAGCCGCCAGCAGACTCCCCCCACCGGCCAGAGCTGAGTCGCACACCCCCTGGGGCCAGTCCCTCCCCTCCCCCAACCCCAAGGATGCAGGAGGCAGGTGAGCGGCCTGGCAGCAAGTGCGGTGGGCTCCGGCCCGCCCCAGGGTGACGCGGAGCACCCCCAGCCCCACACCCGCTGCCTGGCTGCGCTGCAGACTTTCCCAGTGAAGGAAGCAGGGGGGCGTCCACACGTGCTCTGGCACGGGCTCCGGGCAGCTCTGTGGAGGCTGAAGTACCCCCGCCAGGGCGGGGGGCGGGGGGGGGCAGGTCATAGCCCTACAGATGCTGCCGGTGGGGGGCAGGTTGAAGAGGGCAGTTGTATTTGAAAAAGATCACTCCGGCTGCGCGTGAGGAATGGACTGGAGGGACCAGGGGCAGACGGGACCAGCTGGAAAGCTCTGGCATTGTCCGGGACGGAGGGAGATGACAGTGGCCTGGACCGAGACGGCCACTCTGGAGATGGAGGACTGGAAAGGCCGGAGCTGCGGGCCTGGAGGCGGGGTCCAGGGGCCAGACGGGAGGTGGCCGCGGCTGTGGGAGACTGGGCCGCCTGCGGGGCCAGGACGGGGCCCGAGACCCTTCACGGGGGTCCGTGGCCAGGAAGCTGGACCTCCCGCTCAGCTCCGCCTGCCCCCACCATCGGCCGTCCCCAGGACGCTGGCCCGGCCACGTCAGCCTCCCAGCAGCCAGCGCCATCCTCCTGGAGGCCCACACCCATCCTGGCCACGTGACTCCTCTGCCCCAGGAGACGATCTCCGCGAATTCGGGGCCTCTGCCGCCTCACCACTCGGGGGACAAGGGCACAGCTTCTGCGGCGGCTGCGGCATAGGAGTCTGTTCCCCACCCCCACCCCCAAGCCTGTGCCACCCCAGCCTCAGTGGGGGTGGGAAGTGAGGAGGTGGGGAGGGGGTGCGGCCTGACCTGGGGGGGTCCAGACGCGACAGCAGAGGCAAGGGCGCCGAAAGGAACAGGTGTCACTTTTGTTCATTTCAACCTCCAGGGACTGATGGGTCTGTCATCTTCCGTCACACGGACGGAGCCAGGGCTCCCGAGGTGAAGGCAGGCGCCCAGGCCACTGGCGCCGGCATGACCTGGACTCTTGGGGGCTGCTCCATTCCCCAAGGGCCACCAAAAGCCCCAGGCCCCCCTAAAATCCCTACAGCCCCCTAAATTCATGAAGATTTCCCAAGGTCCGAGAAATCCCAAGTACCCAAAGACCCTCAAGTACCCCCATGATGGCCCCAGACCCCCATGGCCTCCCCAAAGGCCCTAAAGACCTCTCAAGGCCCTCCCTGGGCTCTCAATGCCCCCTGCAATTCAGACTCCCCCACCCCCTCCCCAACCCGAGGACCCAAAGGATTTCTCAAGGTCTTCCAGGCCTCCCAGACCCCCCCCCCAAAATCCCCCAGGCCCCAGAAAGTCCCCAGAATTCTCAAGGCCTCCCCAAGTCCCCTAGACCCTCCCAGTCCCCCAGGACCTGCTGGCTCTCCATGACCCCCACCCCCAGGCTTAGGCCTCCATCTTCCAGGAGACCCCCTCGCATTGCCTTTTCCTGGGAAGTCCGGTGGGGGGTCCCCAGGGGGTAAATCCGATCAGTTAGCTGCTCACTCTGCTGTCAGTGGGTGGTCCTGGGCTGACCTATGGGGGTGCCCCCTCAGGGTCATGTGACCCTACGGGCACAGTCACGTGGTGTCAGACATGGCTGCCTGTGTCTCTGTGGTCTGCGAGGCTGGGAGGTCTCCCACGGGGCGCTGAGGGGCCTGCCGCCCTTGGCACCCCACTCCCGCGCCAGGGGCCTCGCCCAGGGAGGAAAACGGCGCTGGGTGCCTTGCAGAGGGCTGAGGGCGGGGTCTGAATCCCTCCTGGCGCCCGCCCCACAGCCTGCCCTGCCCGTCGGTGGGGGGCCAGCACCCCCAGCCACACACCCCTCTCGGGGCCGGGATGGCTCTCAGATCCAGCACTGCCGGGGCCACACCCCTGGTCTGGAGGCGGGGGCCCTGCCCCACCCGCCCCTCTCCGGCTCCTGTGCCTGCACCCAGGGACCGAACCGTCACCTCGCACTCACCGAAGCACACCCGCAGCTGCAGACTCAGTCCCCGCCCCTTTGCCCCCAGGATGCCCGCGGGCGAACCGTCACCAAGAGAAGGGAGGAGGCGGCCAGCCAGCCTCTGCCGCGGTGGGGAAAGAGCTGGCCCGCGGCCGTGAACACAGGAGTGGCCTTTGAGGCCCTAGCCCCGCGGCTCCTGTTTTAAGGAGGGAGGAGCCCGGCCAGGAGGCAGGAGAGTTTGGCACCGGCTGCAATGCCTCGGCAAGTCCCTCCTCTTCCCTGGTCCCCCGTGGCCTCGCTGCACCCCTGGGATGTGAGGACGTGTCGTGGCCGCGGGCGAAGAGCGCAGACTCTGAGGCGCGGCCTGGGCCTGAGTCCTGGCTCTGTCGTCACGGGGAGTCTGTGAGCTAATGTTTTATAAAGACTTAAAACAGTGCCTGGCACGTGCCAAGTGCAATGTGAATGGAAACTCGAGCCTTCATCCAACTATTCGTTGTTCGCTTAGGACATATTTACCCAGCCGGTGTTCGTACTGGGTCCCAGCTGGGCCCTGGGTCGTCAGGGATGAACCAAAGGAAAATACGACGAAGGTACAAGGACCGCATCCCACAATAGCCTGGACCTGACAATGTGTGAGGGCTCCCGGGTGCAAAGGGACATGAGAGTCAAGCAGGAAAACGTCTGGGGTGATCAGGGAGGGCTTCTTGGAAGAGGGGGCATTTAGGTGGGGCACAGGGGCCTGGGCTGGCAGGGACAGACACAGACAGTGCAGCCCACTGACTGCTGATGGATCTGCAGAAGTCGGAGTTGTGCTGGCCACTCACTCGACAGGGACCGGGGACCTGAAATGATGTAATTTCACAGCCGAGTGGATCCTTACACCCTCTTGGTCGGGTGACCTGCACATTGCGCCCGCCCGGCACTTTCCCCCGGGCCATCCATGGCGCTGGCCATGCTGGGGTCTGGGGAGGGACAGGTGTGGGCTAACGGCTTCCCCACTCTGCTCCTCTCTCAGATCTCAGCTGAATCCTGAGGCTAGGGTGCTGCACACCCACCGGGACCTACGAGGCAAGACCCCCGGGGGCTGGCCTAACCCCCCCCCACCATGCTTCTGAGGCTTCATCCTCCCGCAAGGCCTCCAGCACTTGCCAAGGCCTGAGGCCATCATAAGGCCCTGCCGGGAGCCAACCTGGGAGCCCTGGGCCTGCCCAGGCAGAGATCTGGCCCAGGAGCCGGTGAGCTGCACCAACTGCCGGGAAGACCGCCCACGCCCACGCCAGCCTGCCCGGGCAGACCCCGCACCTCCCGGCTAACTGTGAGGCAGCCAGCAAGGCCTGGCCCAGCCATCCCCTGCTCTGGGCGGGGCGGGGGTCTCCATAGGGTGTCCAGTCTTGGGGCTTCTGGATGAAATGAGTAGTTGCACGCGACAGAAAAACTGACTCATGCCAGCTTAAGCAGAAAAGGAAGTGTATTAATGCATGTAACCGTGTGTCCTTCAGGCATGGCTGGATCCAGGGCCCAAAGGGCTTCTCTTTGTGTTATCTCCATCTCACAGCTGTTCCAGGCCAACATTCTCCCCTGTCAGCGGCCCGAGGTACCCTCTGCCCAACTGTTCTAACAAAAGTTTCGGAACTGGGCCTCACTGGCCATGGGTGACCCAGCTGGGGTCACAGGTACACTCCCAGAGCACGAAGGACTGGGTTAGGGCTCCCTGGACCGTGTGGCCTGAGAGCTGGGGGTGGGGTGGGGTGCGTGCACATGCTGTTCCCTCTGCCGGGAACAGCTAGCTACCCCTCTCCCTCCTCCAGGGAGTTCCTCCTCATCCTGGAGGTCTGCAATTCTGATTGCACACACGTTAGGCTCTCTCTCTCTCTTCCTGGCCTCCTGACCTCTCTTCCATATTCTCTGTCTCCTTATCTCTCGGTGCTGCCTCCTGGGAAATTTCCTCAGGCCTATGCTCTGATGCATTGATTCTCTCTTCAGCTATTTATTGCATGGGGTTTAGAGTTTCAACATTTAGGGGAATCTGGGGGGCTCAGTCGGTTAAGCGTCTGACTCTTGGTTTCAGCTCAGGTCACGATCTCACAGTTTGTGAGTTCAAGCCCCACATCTGTGCTGTCGGCTCAGAGCCTGCTTGGGATTCTCACTTTCTGCTCCTCCCCTGCTCGCTCTCGATCTCTCTCAAAAAAATAAATAAACTTAAGAAAAAGTTTCAAAGTATATATTTTCTTTTTTTTAAATTTTTTTAACATTTATTTATTTTTGAGAGAGAGAGACAGAGCACAAGCAGGGGAGGGGCAGAGAGAGGGAGACACAGAATCTGAAGGAAACTCCAGGCTCTGAGCTGTCAGTACAGGGCCCGACGCGGGGCTCGAACTCCCCAGCTGTGAGATCATGACCTGAGTCCAAGTCAGACTCTTAACCGACTGAGTCACTCAGGTGCCCCAAGCATCCGATTCAGGATTTTGGCTCAGGTCATGATCTCACAGTTTGTGGGACTGAATCCCTCGTTGGGCTCTGTGCTGACAGTGTGGAGCCTGATTGGGATTCTCTCTCTCTCTCTTTCTCTCCCTCGGCCCCTCACCTGCTTGCATACTTTCTCTCTCTCAAAATAAATAAACTTAAAAAAAGAGTTCAATGTCCTGAGCCACCCAGACGCCCCTGTTTCTGCTTTTTAAAATTTGTTTGCTCATTTGTTTTTAAGATGCCACATAAAAGTGGAATTATATGGTATTTGTCTTTGTCCATCTCACTTATGATAATATACTCGAGGTCCATCCAAGTTGCTGCAAAGGGCAGGATCTCATTGTTTTCATAGCTGAGTGACAGCCTATTGCATAGGACCCCACCACATCTTCTTTATCCATCCATCTATTGATGGACACTTTGGCTGCTTCCGTATCTTGGCCATTGTAAATAACGCTGCAATAAACACAGGGGTGCGGGTATCTCTCTGAATTAGTGTTTTCATTTCCTTTGGGTAAATATCCAGTAGTGGCATTGGTGGATCATATGATATTTCTATTTTTATTTTTTTTTTGAGGACCCTCTGCACTGTTCTCCACAGCGTGCACCAGTGTGCACTCCCACCAACCGTGCACAAGTCACGCCTTTTCTCCGCATCTTCCCCAACACTCGTTATTGCTTGTTTATTTGACGCGAGCCCTTCCGGCTGGTGTGAGGTGGCATCTCATTGTGGTTTGATGTACGTTTCCCCGATGGTGAGCGATGTTGAGCATCTGCTCACGTGCCTGTTGGCCATCTGGACGTCTTCTTGGGAAAAATATTTATTCAGGTCCTCTGCTATGGTTGCAAACTCTCAAGGGAAATTATTATTGTCATTAAATATCTTCTATCTGGAGCCCTGAATCAGACACCCAGATTTCCCAGCAGGGTCCCCCGCGGGCAGGCAGATTCAGTTGGTACCACTCTCTGCTGAGAAGGCTGCCTTCTTTCAGGATTGCAGCCTGATGGGGGGGGGTGTCTTAGGGTCACCTCCTGACCGCCCACCACATTGCAACAGCCCAGTCTCTATCTCTTATGAGCACCCAGGGAAAGATTGTTGCTCATGTATCTAGTTCGAGCTGTTTCTCCTCCTTCCTCCTCCTTCCTCTTCCTCCTTCCTCCTCCTCCTCCTCCGTTTTGGAAGGCGGGGCTTCCTTAGAAGCTCAGCAACAGGATAAAGCTGTGTCTGAAGACATTTACCCAGAACGGGGCAGCAGCCGGGCACCGAGGGCACCTGGTCACCTGCTGCCAGAGGGCAGGTCAGCTCACCACCTGCCCTGGATGTTGCGCCCTTCGCTGCTCGAATGAGTCTCACCTCGCTTCCAAGTGGGTTATTTTGTGACCGAACCACGGAACGGGGCCTGACTTACGCCTGCTTCCTCCTCCGCCTGCGGCAGCCCCGCCTTCCTGGGGACCTCGTGGATGGCGGCCCGCGGCGCTGCGCAGGGGTGAGTGGGTGCGCTGGGGGCGTCCCGAGGCAATGCCGTGGGTGCTGCTGGTGAGGCCCCGGAATCGTGCGAGCTGCCCGTGCTGACTGGACACCACCTAGAAAACTACCGGACTTCCCCTCCGTTCCAGGTGGCGTGGATATGACCTGACTGAGCTCCTTGGAAGATGGCCCCGGAAGAGCCTCTGTGACAGTGACAGGGTGCACGTCCCTCCCACCCCCGGGGACAGGCCTGGGCTCCGTCGTCCCAAGAGCTTTCCGGCCCCACTCACGCCCGCCTCCTCTCACCCTGCCCCACACTGTCCACGTCCACTTGTCTCCGGCCCAGCTCTGCGTGGACTTGTGTCCCCGGGGCTCTGTCCCTGGAGGTAGACCTGGCCTCACTCATCCCATGGGGACTGAGTGATGGGCTCCTCTGTCCCAGGCCCTCTGCTCAGTGCCACCCGATGGGAAGAGCTGGTCTTGGCCTTCAGAGGTCACCTTCGGGGGCTGACGGCTGTACTGCAGGGGAGCAGGAGAACTCTGGTCTTCTCAGAGGCTGGGGGCTCCCAGGGGAGGCAGCACTCAACGTGCAACTAGGAACTTTCCAGATGCACAAACAGGGGCGGGGACAGTGGGGGCCCTTGAACGGGGCAGTGGCCTCAGGGTGCATTCTGGGAAGACACATTGTGGGGTTCTCTAAGACTAGACCCACGTTTCTGAAACCCCGATGGCGGGGGCAGGGACGGAAGTGTCACTCCGAAGCCGCTCTTCCCGGCAGCTGGGGGTAAGGAGGTCACACTCCCGGGCCGAGGCTCACAGTCTGTGAAGGACGGAAGAGTTCGTGCAAAGCGGCACTTTGCTTCTCCTTCCCGTGGCTCCGTGACTTGGCCAGGCTCAGCTGGGCGGTCAGTTCTGTCCATGGGTTTCTCGTGCAAGTGCAGTCACGTGGTGGCCGAAAGCAGAAGGTCCAAACGGCTTGTCTCTCACCTGCAGCCTGACGGCTCCTAGGTGGCCTCTCTCTCCACAGGGCCTTGCCCACGAGGGCCTCCCCACATGGCCTCTCCTCACGGGGATGGTCAGCAGGCTTCAGAGCCTAATTACCGTGTGGTAGATCTTGGGTTCAGGCTCAGGTCTGTGTATGGGACACCCGTGCCATGTTCTTGACCACTCTGGCTCTTCTCCTCTGGAGGGGCCACGGCCACATTTAGGGGCCCTGCTGGAGTCACGGTGAGGCCCATGACTCTGAGAGCTGCTCCCACAGCTGTATTTCTACTGTGACTCAGAGTCACCCACACGGTGCCTGTATCAACTACTATTGCTGTGTAACAAAACCGCCCCCAAACCTAGTGATCACTTATTTCTCAGGAGGCTGCGGGCTGGTTGGGCAGTTCTGCTGGCCTGGGCTGGCTTGTGCGTCTGCAGTCACTGCGGGCCAGTCCCGTGGCTTTGCTCTCGTGGCTGGGCTCCCAGGCTCCAGCTGGGCCAGCTTCTCTCTGCTCCACGTGCTCTGTCATCGGCCGGCAGGATGGTCAGGCTTGGACCCATGGTGCACAGGGCTCGGCAGGAGAGCAGAGGACCAGGCTCAGACGGGCACAGCGCCCCTTCCACTGGATTCTATCGGCCAAAACTAGTCGTAAGTCATCTGCCAGATTCCCTGCGGGGAGACCGCTTCCACCTTCCAGTGAGCTAAGCAGTCACACTGCAGGAGGCACAAGGCACGAATGTAATGAGGGGCCATGAAGGGGACCTCCAGCAATCCATCTGCCAGCACGCCTGTGCGAGGGCCCCTTCCCGGGGCCAGGTGTGGTGGGGTCCCCACCCAGCCGGACACCTTCGTGCAAGCCCTCGCGACTCCACCTCACCCTGATGACCACGCCGGATACACCCCCCCCCCCCCGGACTGGCCCGCCCAGTCTCACCGGTCAGCACCAGCTGCAGTCAGGAGCCGAGGCTGATCGCAGTGCACGGGGAAGTGGAGGAAACAGGCCAGAGAGAGAGCGAGCGTGAAGGCAGGAAGAGAGAGAGGCTGAACGCTGAGTGGAGGAGAGACGGACGGAAGGAGGCTCACACGGCATGTTTGTACATGTGTGTCTTTGTGTTTTTATTTGTGCATACACTTGTGTGTGTTTGCACACAGGTGCTTAAGATGGGAAGGTTCAGGTGAGCCCCACGCCTCCCCTCTGTGCACGCCCCAGCCCCCAGGGTGCCCCCGCCACAGTTGGCTCCTCCCTCTGCTCTGCGCCCCCTTCTCCCGGGCAGCAGGCTGCGGGCGGCTCACAGAGCCCCGGCCCCAGGGAGGAGCCAGTGGGGGGAAGGAAGGCAGCCCAAGGGACCTGGGTGTGCAGCCGGCTCCTTCAATCACCGCCGCTGGTCCTCTCTGGTGCAGATCAGTCAAGGACAGGTCATCTCACCCTCGCCAGGTGGGGGGGAGGGGGGGCTTATAGCCGCTGCGTTCGCCACGTAGCAGCCTCCCCACCTTCCTTGTGGGAACCAGAGCTGAAACTGACCAAAGACAGGAGAGCCCGGTCCCGCAGGACCCGCAGCCGGTAAGCAGCAGGTGACAATCTCACCCGCTGACCGTTTGCAAAGCCCTCTGAGGGGTCCTGGGCTCTGCAGTGGTCCAAGGGGGCCGGGAGAGAGGGGCTTCAAGCCAGTTCCTACTGCATGCCCCTTGGCAGGCTGCCTGGCCCCTGTGAGTCCCTTTCCGCATGGCTCCCCATCAAGCAGTATCGTCAAGGTAGTAGAACTGGGCAGTAGTGAGTCCTCAGCAGGAGGTGGTAAAGGTGAACCTCCAGCTAGAATTCCACATTCCCATCTCCCTGGCAAACTCCTACTCATACTTCAAAACCCAACTACCCTAGAAAGCTTTCTCAGATACCTTTTCCCCTCACAGCGGGGAGACGACACTTTCTGGAGTGACCTGTCCCTTGGTTTTACCCACCGTATTTTGACTCGTATGGGTTCAGTAGACCGAACTCCGCGAGGGCAGGCCAGCACATCAGATTCCATGGGCCCCACGTCCAGTACAGAGCTGGGCACAGGAAGGCCCTCAGCGGGGGGTGTGGCCCGAATGAAATACAGCACCCTCCCCCCGCACAGTCTTGGCCTAGGAAACATTTCTGTCTGAGGTTCGGGGGTCACGGTGGAATCCCTCAGAGGGCCAGCCTCGGGAACGCTCCCGGCCTCCACCCTGGAACAAAGGCCTCCTTTTTCTCCCAGAAACACCGTGGTCAGGAGTGCCTGCTGACGAATGGATACTTCGGGCTTCTGCGGACAGCATGGCCCCGTTCTTTCTCGTTGGCAGGCTGTGTGAGCAAGGCTTCACCATAGAAGCCTCTAGATCAATCCCCTCGTGGCAGCCAAAAAGAGTGCCCCGTTCTGGATGTCCAGACGCTAACCTCCCAAACCTGCGGATTTGTTGTTTGTGGCGAAGGAATGAAGGTTGTAAGTGGAACGTGGACAGCTGGACAGCAAGGGCAGCCGCTCCCTTCAGAAGGGGCGTCTCCTCGAGGTAAGGTGTTCACCCTCACCGTCTAGGCAGGTCCCATATAATCAGGTCCTGGACGGTGCAGGGGGGAGGCAGGAGAGCCAGTTTCAGAACACAGCAATGTAAGAAGGGCCATGGCAACCGGCCGCTGCTGGCTCTGAACTTGGAGGAGCGGCCATGAGCCACAGGAGCGGACGGTCTCAAGAAGTTGGAAAAGGCCAGAAAACGGGTTTTCTCCCGGAGCCCCCGGGAAGGCTGCAGCACTGCTGATGTTTTGATTTAACCAAAGGAGAGTACATGTGTGTTGTTTTAAGCCGCAGAGTTTGTGGGGTGCTATTACATCAGCCCCAGGAAGTGGGTCCAGCCCGTCTCACAGAGGAGGGGACTGAGGCCCAGAGAAGAGAAGGGCCTCGCCCAGGCCCACAGGCAGCGGCACTGCCCCGCCTCGGACTCGCTGCCCGGTGCTCCTGACCCTGCCCACTGCACCCCCCGACAGGGACAGAGCCCCCAGCAAACAGTCGGGGTGGCTTCTGCACAGCTGTGGGGTTGGAAAAGCAGCCACACCCCCCTCCTGGGGCGCGCCGGCAAATGAGCGGATTTGGTGGACAGAGAAGCCTCAAATCTGGCAAAGCAACCAATTAACCGATTTTGACAGAAGTTGGAACTTGCAGGAAGCGAGGCCTCTGCCAACAGCCCCTCCTTGTCCTCCGGTCCCCCCCACCCCCAGAAGCAGGCGGCGGCCAGTCCCGGATGCCACCTGGATCCACCACCCTCAGCCCCGTGGGCGCCCAGGGCGCACCCTCCCCAGCACACCCCTGCGTCCGGAGCCAAGCCCAGTGGCTCTGGCCTACTTATGGTGTCTTCACCCACCTTTTTCCCTTTTGATCAGGGCAGGGTCTGCTCTCCTCCATGCGCTGCAGGACTCAGCACGCACACCGAGCCCCAGTGACTCATCGCCCCTGCCCCCGGGAGGGCCCTCCTCTGCCCGCTGCGCGGCTGGTGGGGCGCCGGAGCTCGCCGGCTGCCTGGGTGGGACGCAGAGCCCGGGCTGTGTCCCTGCGTCCCCCGATCATTCCAAGAGCCTCCAGGACCTCTGGCTGGCTTTCTCCCTGGGGGTCTCGGCTGACCCTTCTAGGACAAGAGTTTCCCTCGGAGTGGAAGGAGGAGGGGATGCCTTTTCTCCCTGGCAGGTCTGGTACGTCTTGCCTGGAAACCACACGGGTCTCAGGCTTCTTCCCCCCCCCCCCCCGCCGCCAGGAGCCAGATGGCCATAGTTCTCACGCTTCCTGGAATTTGGGATTCCCTTGAAGGCCGAATGGCCCCGCCCCCAGGCCCTGGGGGGGCAGGGCGGTGGCCATTCCTGGTTCCTTTAGGCTCTGGATCAGGCTTCTCTGCTCCATGTCAAGCCCCAGCATCCTAGAGCGGCCCCCCCACTGCCCTCTGAGCGGCTGCCCCTCCCCCCGTCCTCTGGGTGACCAGAGTCGGGAGGCCTGCGCTGTGTTTCCGACACGACACGTCCACCGAGCGGGCGGGGGACTGCGGTGTTGAGTGCTGAGGAGCTGGGGGGGCGGACGCTCCATCACGACAGTGGCAAAAATAGCGACGATCTTTCAGCCCCTGCTCTCAGGAGCTGGTCCCTCACGGCTGCCACGTCCCTCCCTGCAGCTTTCGTCTCTCAGATGAGGGCACCGCGGTCCCGCCCGGGAGGGGGCAGACGGACAGGGTTGGCTCCTAGGCGTTGCTACCCTGGTGCAGAGAGCTTTCTCCCCCCCCCTCCTTTTTTTGTTTGTTGTTATTTTTAAGAAGATATAATTAAGATTTGGGAACTTTATTTCTCTGGATCGCCCTTGTTCCTGTAGAATCACTAAGGGAATCATTCTTGCACATGGTCATCTTCCCCGAAAATGTTTTGCAAATGGATTGAGAGAAATAAACAAGGAGAGGGGCCTCCCGCTGGCCCCCTTCCCTCTAAGAGGGACGTGTGGAGGTGGAAGCTTCCGGAGGGAAGACTCGGGGGGCCTTTTCCATCGCCGCCTCCCCACAGCCCCAGGGTTGTCAGGACGCATCTGGTCCGCAAATGGGGGCCCTTCTGTACACAGAGGCTTCAAGGAAGGGGGCCCCGGTGAGTGCTCCCCGGGCCAAGTCAGAGGAAGGAAGGTGTGCGGGTGGAGAGGACAGGGAGGGCCTCCCTTGCGGGGCCCAGATGCGGGGGACCTTGGTGACTCTTTCCCCCATCCCCACCCCCACTGCCCCTCCCAGAGCTAGTCCCACAGACTCTCCCCTGAGCCCTGCCCTGGGTCTGACCACCTCTCCCAGCACCAGGGCCCGGCAGTCCCATCCGGATGCCTGGATGCTGGCCTTCCAAATCTGCCTCCCATTAGCCAAGGAGAGGGTTCGAAAGCACGGACCCTTCCCACCTGCACTCTGCTGCCGGAGGTCTTTCTGTCAGACACACGAGGAAAACCAAAGTCCTGGCTGTGGTCCATGTGACCCCTGCCACTCCCTGTCCTCCACCCACAGTGGCCTCAGACACGCCCACCACACTCACTCCCGCCCCAGGCCCTTTGCACTGCTGATCTTCTCTGCCCTGAATGTGCCTCTCCCAGATGTCCCTTTGTCACCTGGCTGGAAGGCCTTTCCAGATCACCTCACCCCAAATAGCCCACCTGCCACTCTGTCCCAATTATTTTACTTTATTTTCTTCCTGCAAAGTGGAATATTTCCTATGTTAATTGTTTTCTCCTACAGGATGATCTCTCCACGTGAGGCAGGGTGCTGCCCGTTGCGTTAGCCATGGCATTGAATGGACTTGGAAGGAAGGAAGGAAGGAAGGAAGGAAGGAAGGAAGGCGTGCATGCATGTGGAAGGGAAGGAGAACACCAGCGGCAGGGAACGGACAGCTGGGTGTCTGTGGCCTCGCGGCTGCGGGGGTAGAAGGCCCTCCTCCACAGCCCGGGTGCTGGAGATCGGGGAAGAGAAGCAGAGGCCACTGGCTTCCCACCTCACCCTGCCTGGGGCAGCTTTAGTGCCCCCCCCCCCCCGCCCCGTACCTAGCAGGGACCGAGGAAAGTCCCCCAGGAAAGCCCCCTGAGAGCCATCAATGACGGTGTGGCTGTGGTCACAATGTCAAAATACACAAATAAAGAATAATTTCAAAACAGATTCTGCGTGTGATTTTTTAGGGAGAAAGGTCTTGCCTTTTTTTCCCTCCACTTAAAAGGAAGGGAGGTTACAGGGTGCCTGGGTGGCTCAGTCAGTTGAACATTCGATTTTTAAAACAATGTTTATTTATTTTTGAGAGAGAGAGAGAGAGACAGAATCCAAAGCAGTCTCTAGGTTCCGAGCTGTCAGTGCAGAGCCTGACACAGGGCTCGAACTCATGAACTATGAGATCAAGACCAGAGCCGAAGTCAGATGCTTAACCAACTGAGCCACCCAGGTGTCCCAAGCACCAACTCTTGATTTTGACTCAGGTCATGATCTCATGGTTTGTGAGACTGACTCCCATGTTGGACTCTGCACTGAGTGTGGAGCCTGCTTGGACTTCTCAGTCTCCTTCTCTCTGCTCTTTCCTTGCTCTCGTTGTCTCTGTCTCTCTCTAAATAAATAAATAAGTTTAAAAAATTGGTAAAAAAAAAAAAAAGGAAGGGAGGTTATTCAAAATAGTCAAGAAGAGGAAACAACCCAAATACCTATTGGGTGATGATGAATGGATTACAAATATGGTATATCCATTCAATGGAATATTACACAGCCATAAAAAGGAACAAAGCTCTGATTTGTGCTACAACGTGGATGATCTTTGAAAACATGATGCTCAGTAAACATAGCCAGCCACGGAGGCCACATGGTGTAGGGTCCCATGTATAGGAAATGTCCACAGAGGCAGACAGTAGAGGAGGGGTTATAGGGGTGCGATGGGGGTGGAGGTGACTGCTAATGGTACGAGCTTCTTTTCAGGGTGGTGGGAATGTTCTGGAATTCCACAGTAGTGATCATCGCACAGCTTTGCGAATGTACTCAAAGCCAGTGTGTCGTACACATTTAAAAGGGTGAATTTTACAGTGTGTGAAATAGATCTTTTTTAGAAAAGAAGAGAGATACGCTGGGCGGGGGATAACCAAGAAGGATGATGTGCTTCCCCTTACTGCCTTCGTGATGCTGGGAACGACAGAGAGAGGAGCGAGTATGCCCACCGCCGAGCATGCCAGCCAAACGCCCAGTCCTCGGTGGATCCACACCCCTCAGTCCCACCGTGGACGCAGTCTCCGCTCGGCTCTGGTCCTGCCTTTCGTGGCCTTCCTTGGTCCCCAGGAGCCCCCTCCGCCCAGTGGCTCCCCTGCAGGGCCTCGGGTACTGGATCTGGCCCTTCCTGGTCTGCCAGACGTGGGTCATTCTCTGTGGGTTGGGGACATTGGGGACCTAATGTGTTGGGGTCCCAGCACCTGTCCCCTGCAATGTGCCCTGCGCTCTGAGCCTCAGTCTAGGAAGCATCCAACAGAGGGGGAGGGTCCCCTTGCCTTAACCTGCTGGGGGGTCCCAGGAGCCCCCGAGTGGCAGTGTGGGCGGGGGGCTGCGTGGCCCAGCCAGCTCAGGGTCGGCAGGGGCCAGCAGCTCTCAGGGCTCCACCACCTACGTGCGCACGGGGGTCCACAGAGGCCTGTTGCCATCTGGCACCGGCTGGGCCCCCGTGCAGGGAGGGAGGTGGGCACCTAGGAGACTCTGGTGCGGCAGCGACTGTGCTCGGCCACTAGAGGTCAGTGCAGCCCGAGGGGGCCCATTTGGACCTGCCCAGGACTTGCTCAGCGGGCGTGGGGCCCAGGGTGGGACAGAGGTCCCTTGTTGCCTTCAATGCCAGGCCTCCCCAAGGATGCTGTGGTAGCTTGGGACACTAGACCTGTGGCCACAAATTCCAGTCCACGGTCCTGGGGGCCTGACAGAAACTATAGCATTTCTATTTAGAAGATTCTGGCACCTTCCAACAAGGAAATCAATTTTATTTTTTGTCACGAGCGATACAGGGTCATTCAGGGAAGCCCTAGTACACGAAACATTCTAGATTAGGTTCTAATTTCCCTTTACCCTCTGGCTTCTATTAAGCTTCCAATTCAGTCACGGTCCGTCTTTGTTCAGAGTTTGGACTTCCTCGGGATTTCCCACCAGCCAAACCCCACCCAAGGCGAGGGGCGCTGGAGAGGGAAGAGGGGCTTGCTGAACTCTGTTTGTAAGAGGTTTTTCCCTCTGAATTCCCCCCACCCCAAATAAAAAGGGACAAAGTTGGGCCCCAGCCCAGACTTGCTTTTCGTCTTTCACCACCGGCGTGTTTCTTTTGCCTCCTCCCCATTTAAAGATTGGCTCAGGGATTTACTGTGCGAGGAACAGATTCCGGAATTCATGTGGGTTCTGATTTGAGCCCCCAGCAAAAATTGTTTCAAGTTGCTTCCCAGAGCAGGTACAATGCCAGGGGTCCACAGCTTCTGCCTTACCTTCTTTTTTCTTTAAAGCACTCGCTTTAGTGAAACACCTCAGGGGCGTGTGCAAAATATAAACATCAATTATAGTCACTGAGCCCCTGAGCCGAGGAGTGGCAGCCACTGCGGGCACATAAAACAGCGTGAGACAAGCGGCCTCCCCAGGCACGGGCCCCACTGCTAACCTCCAAGCCCCTCCCGCCTTGATGCGACCCCCCACCCCCAGGAGGGGCCCCAGAGTCAGGGAGTGGTATGTTGGTCCTCAGAGGTGGTGGGCACGTGGGGGAAGGGAGAGACTGCTGCTTGGAGCCACCCCCAGGGGGAGGGACAGGAGCGGGACAGCCCCTCAGGGACAGCCGCCAGACAGGCCAGCCCCTTCCAGTGGACTGGGTCAGGGGCGGAGCACAGACCCCCTGGGAAATTGGATGAAAGTTAGGCAAGCGCTGACACGGCACACTCCCCTTAGCGCGCAATTTCAGCCATGACCCCCAAGGCAGTGATGCAGCAACCATGACCTTATGGTGCTCAGTGACATGACCATGACACGGTAGCAGGAAAAGTTAGCCCTAGGAGATCTGCACCCGAGAGAACCAGTCTGTGCCAGCCTCTTAATACAGCCTTTTTTTTTGTTTTGTTTTAAGTTTATTTATTTTTGAGAGAGGGTGAGAGAGAGCATGAGTGCAAGTAGGGGGAGGGGCTGAGTGAGAGGGAGACAGAATCCGAAGCAGGCTCCAGGCTCTCAGCTGTGAGCACAGAGCCCCGTGTAGGGCTTAAACTCACCAACCGCGAGATCATGACCAGAACCGAAGTCTGACACTTAACCAGTTGAGCCACCCAGGCAGCCCTGCAGTCTTTTTTTTTTTTTTTAAAACTAATCTCTAGTCTCAACGTGGGGCTCGAACTCACAACCCTGAGATCAAGAGTCCCATGCTCCCCCCACTGAGCCAGCCAGGCGCCTCTACGAGGTCTTAATAATCCTCCAAAAAGGCTAGGAATCTAGACTTTTATCTTCAGTGTCTCCTGAAGTGCCAGAGTTAGGCCCTGGCAAAGGTCACACAACTGCTTAGTGCAGATGGGCCCTGACCCCTGGGAGATGCCAGCCCTTTCGGGTCTGCGTTGTTCTGCTGACGCACCTGTGGTCACTTCACGAGCTGCAGCCTGTTTTCAGCAACCTCCCCGCCCCCCCTTCAGCCCTGCAGATAGAGCACCTGTACATACAGAAAGGGCATAAAGCCTGTGTGCAGAGATGTAGGAGCATAGCGCCAACACTGCGCTAGCCCTCCCGTCCAGAAGGACGTCCCCCGCTGCCCAGCCCTCCTCCTGACCACACTCAAGTCATCTCCTTGCAGTTTCTGAGCCTTTCCTCCGTGTGCATTCCTAACCATGCAGTCTGGGCCTGCTTCGGAACCCACACGTGAACGGAACATCGGGGTCGGTCTCTCTCTCTCTCTCTCTCTCTCTCTCTCTCGGGACATCACATTAGCAAGGTCTGTCCATGCGTTCCTTCCGCCCTCCACCTTGGGACCAGGAAGTGGCACAGAGGAGCCCCAGCGGTTGTTACCTCACGCAGCCTTCAGGTGTCTCATTCCAGGAAAGCACGCCCACACCCAAGCTCATTCACTGCATTTGAATTTCCAAAAACCAGTGAGCACAGCGCAAGGGAACCCTTTGTTTATATAAACCCAACCCACCCTATTTAAAGTTCCTTTTGAGAAATACTCACTCTGGGGTTCTCTCCAAACCTAAGTCTCCCCGCCTTCCCCTCACCCGGGCCTGAGCTTTGCACAGCAAAGCCCTGGGCTCGGGGTCCTCCTTGCCCGCCCCTCTCAGAATTCCTGCCATCTGACCTCCCCGAGCAAGAGGAAGGAGGGAGGTCCTGGGCCGTCACACTTGAGGGACGATGGACATTTTTCTCTCCTTCCCCTCCCTCCATGCACACATTTCCCGAAAGGGCTTGCCAGTGGAGACTCTCAGATTAAAAGATTCTAGAGCAAATCTATATTTAAGGCTAATAACACACTCTTTAAGTCGTTGCGAACGGGAAGAAAATGCTCATATTCGGCTTTAGCCTAAAGACATCGTATCCAGCAACTCTGAGTGCTGTTGGTGGAGTTCACCATTTTCTGCGCCCCCCCCCCCCACCTGCGCTCAGTCCGGAAGTGTGCGGGGCCAGAAACGCCCGCGTCAAACAGATCTGCGGCAACACCTCACCCACCCGGATCTTTCTACCCGACCGACCGGTGGAGGCTTCTGGGAAGGCGAGACTCCCCTGACAGGCCTACGGGCCGCAGTGGGGTTCTGGCCCCCCGAGTTCTCCGGAGGGCAAGTGCATGCCAGCCAGGGTTGGCACAATACTGAAGCCCCGCGGGAAGGTGGGGGTGTCCTGGAACCCTAACCCCCGCCCCCCCACAAGCTGTGCTCCGCAGGAGGCGGGGGGGGGGAGTCCACTTAGTTCTCAAGCGCCCCCCATCTTTTCCTGCAGAAGGCGGCGGTGCGCTGGCCAGGTCCGAAGCTCGCGTCTGCCGTCTTCCCCGCAGGACACCCGGGCAAAGGGGAGCTGTCACACTTGGAAAGCGCCCGCGGGTGGCTGCCCGCTCCCGGAGCGGCCAGCGGGCCCCCCGACCGGACCGCGCGTCCCCACGCCAAATCTCAAATGTCAACCCGGGCCGTTTTCCTTTTCGTTTAAAAGCTGCGCTTTAAACCCGGTGGGACCCGAATCCGGTTAGTCACCTATCGCGTTTCCAAATCCAGGGAAGTTTTTGAGGCGGTAAAAAGCGC